CCCCCCCCCAACCGATTCTTTGGAGCTCATAGTGGAAATGTGTAAGGCTTAGCCTCCCTGAGGACTGACAGAGGCACAGAGAGAGAGGGAGTCAGAGGAGAGAGGGACAGGCAGCGTAATGGACGAGTTGAGAGGTGGAGGACGGGTGTATGAATCTGATGAGACTCTTCATGGATGTACCTTGCAGATGTTCTTTATAATGTCAGGAACAAAACAGGCAAACTTGTGTTTATCTTCAGCCAGTCATTCACAATTGATTACATGTCAAGAGATTCCTGGCTTTCCTGAGGACCGCCATAGAGCCTGGCTGCATATAATCCTGCTACTTAAGGTATCAGATTGTACTGAGATAATCACCCATGAAATAGATTCTGGCATTTCTCTTAAAGACGTGGGCTATGTCAGGCGGCTTTGTCCAGAGAAATTGATTTTTCAAAGCAAAAGAAGAAGGCAAGGACAAATGGATGAAAAGTGATAAATGAGACAGAGAGACGGGAAGAAAATACTTTGTTTGACTATTTTCTTTTTTTGTTTCTTTCCAAATTTGACTGATAGCATTCTGCTAATTCAATTGTGCCATCCTCACTTCACAGATTTACAAAACCAATTAAAACTTGTCAAATCTCTGTTTCCAGAGGTGAGCATGATTCCTGTCAGGTGGTAGGATTACGCAGTGGTGGAGAAACACAATGACACTCTGGAGATATTCATCAAAATGTGTTGCATCTAATGATAATCAGGTTTATTTGGATACAAACATTTTGGATGTGTTATTGCTGTTCGTTGCTGAAAAGCAAATTGTGTTTGCTGTCAGTAATAGACACATGCTGTCTCCCCATTGGTCTTTTAAATTCTCGTTTTAATTATCGTACGTTCTCTCTTCCTCCTGCTTTTTGTTGTCAACTCGCCACATGGCAGCCTGCACCACTCTAACCTTTGCTGTTGTTCTCCGTCCCTCAAAGCCGAGCAGCTCAACGCGTCCCCTCCTCGACTGTGTTCAGTTGACAGCGCTATACGCCCCCGTGGTTCCCCGGCAAAATGGTCCTCCACAAAGGCCTCAGGAGCATCCTCCACCTCCGCCACCAAATTCCCCAAGCCTAGGGAGACAGCCGTAGCAAATCCCATTCTCCTGCAAAGCAGACACACACACATACGACACATACACACTGATGCAAGCACACATCATGGCTGGTCTGGGCTTAGCTGTCATCTTTATACTGTACTTTTGGGAGAAAGATGCTCCCGTGCTTTGGAAAGAGACAGACGTTAAATAAGAGGTGCTAGGATTTCATAAGCAAATCCTGCATTTTTCCACTGTCTCTCCTGGGGGTGTTGAATGCTTAGAGAAAAAGACAGAGTGCAGGAAGCACATGCTGGAATAAAATAATATCCAGTGCAGAAATGAATTAAGGTTATGCTACAAAACCTGCTGCACAAACTGGTTCTTTCTCCTTTTGGATTATCCACATGTTGACATTGAAGTTTGTGACAGTTTTCTTAAATTTGCTAATGTTGAACCACATGTTATTACCATTCAACACATGAGGGAATATTTCACCTGGGATTAAAAATTTCTCCTCTGTCATACTGTCTCCTCCTCTTCTAGCTGTGAGCGGTGCCGAGGACGTGGCACTCTACGTCGGCATGGTGGCGGTGGCCCTGTGTCTGACGCTGCTGCTCATCGTGGTCGTCCTGGTGTACCGCCGCAAGAAGGAGGGCCTGGATGCCGATGTGGCGGACTCCTCGATCCTCACCACTGGCTTCCAGCCCATGGGCATCAAGCCCAGCAAGCCAGGTGTGTGGGCACCGCGGCCACGCAGGCCCCCTCCCCACAGCAGTAGGACACTATTCTTTGTTCTACCCTCCTCTGTGCGTCTGTCGTCTGCCCACCGTGACTGTGCAGCACTCATCTACATGTACTGCGGAGCCTGTTGTTTGTGGCCTTAGAGGTGGCGTGAATGTGTTTACAGTGGTTTGTAGTCTAAGCAAGACATATTATGTTTCGTGTGTGCGTGCGTGCGTGAGGTGCATGTGTTTATTTTCCTGCCTGATACATTATGTTTCGCCACCACCTCATTGTCAGGAAATGTACCCACTCTGTTTACTGCCTGTGTGGAGCCTCTGAGGTTTACCAGCGAGTAATAGAAATACAACTGTCTGAGTTGGATGGAGATGGGGAACTGGGCTGCAATGCCTGTGATGCACCGTGAAAAAAAAAAAAAGCCTTTATACATTCTGGGTGCTAAGCTGTATCTGAGTTCTGTTTGGAATTGATTGTGTGGTTGCTAAAGAGACAGGCAGAGATAGAGCGAGGGAAGGGGAATTGACTGGCTTTGGGTGGAATTTGTGTTTGTGTATTATCAAGAGTGTGTGTGTGAGTGTTCTCTGCACCATGTGTCTTTTCCTGTGTTTGCTTCGGTCTTCTGTGTGTGTTGCGACAGCTTTAGAGAGTGTGAGGTCTGTCTCTCTGATGTATGAACCCCCCCCCCCACACCGCCTTTATTACCACTCATGGAGATTCACACATTTGCCTTTGTCTGTTTTCTCCTTTTAAACATTTTTAAACAGAGAATTCCCACTTGCTCACCATCCATCCCGATCTTACCACCACCACCACCAGTTACCAAGGCACCCTGCGCTCTCGCTACGACACCACCGGGAAGTTCTCCATGACCAATGGGCCTCTGTTGGACCCACTCCCCAACGGCTCACATACGCCGCACAATGGAAAGCTTAACTCAGACCCTGCAGAGTTTGTGAGCCGGCTGTCCACTCAGAGCTACTTCAAAACGCTGCCCCGTGACGTGGCCAACACCTCCTATGGGACCTTCAACTTCCTGGGAGGGAGGCTGACGATCCCCAACACAGGTGGGTTCTTCATTTTGGGTGTTTTACACCTGGAGTTCAGCTCAATTTGTTTGGACCAAGTACAAAGAGATAGCATGCTGCTTTTTACTTGGAATCCAGTTCGTATTCCCATAAACAAACAAATGAATTAATAAACGTCATTAATTCAGTCCACCTTAATGTTCTCCTGAAAGATAATGATTTTCATGTTGCCCCATCAACCCTCCAGTTCTTAAACTCTGTGTATCACGAATGACAAATATCATACTTATCACCGTTGTCTGTATTAACCATCCTATAGTTGAAAAAACCATCTGCTGAAGCTCAGTGGTCAAATCTTCCAAACTACCTCCTAACCTCCAAAAATCAAATTCAAAAGTAATTTAACATCCAATTTGTTCATCTACTCTGCTCCTCTGTGGTGCCACCTCCACTGCTTCACTTGGGTGGAAAGCTAAAGGATTAGCCCACAGATTTATTGTTGAGGAGTAAGGCAGTGGCAGTTGCGTGGTACAAAGACGACAAACAGACTTCCACATGCCGTTTTTCAGATGCTTTCGTGTCGCAATTGTCCGCTCAGGGCAGCTTTGCTTGCTGGTTTCCTCCGTTATTGTAGCAAAACAACGTAACTGTACTTAACTTACTTTATAAGCTGATAGTGAGCGCCCCCTGCTGGATCTTAAGACACTGTATTTTTAATTTGTAAAGGTCATTACAGTTCCAATATGAATCCCCCACCCTGACACCCATGTCTGAGCACTAATATACAAGTGCACAAACCAGTAACTACTCAAACCCCTCATACACATACATTGGCTGAACTGGTGTTAAATAATTGGAACAATATAAATGGAATGAACTGCCCTCAAACTGCAGTGACTTATATTTCCCCCTGAGATTTTAAAGCTTCACTATCTGATGATTCTTGTGACTGTTGTTCTTAATTCTTCTTAATTCTGTGTCCCCTATATGCATAATGTTGCTTTGTTTTGTTGATTGTGTTTGTGGTGATTATTTCTGGCTCTCAGTTCTCACTCGGAGGATTAAATAGCCTGATTAAACAAAGATTAAATCAACGAAAGATAAAATAAACAAGCCAATCAAAGACATTGGCAAGAAAAAATATGTGAACTCTATGGAATTACCTGCTTTTCAGCATTAATTGGTGATAAGATGTGATGTGATCTTCATCTAAGCCACAAGCATAAACAATATGCTTACGCTGATAACACATGACTATAATCATTTGAGTCTTTATTGAACACAGAGGGTCCTGGTGGACTAAGTAAGTGAGGACTTGGATTTAATAACTACTTTGGCAGTAGTAAACACCCTTTCAGCTGGATCAGACCTGTACGATGGTCAGGAGGGGTTTTGAACTTTTCTTCCTACAGATGTATTCTTAGGACGTCCAGTGTGAACAACTTTCTAAATTAATTCAATGACATCAGAATTAATGTCTGGGCTCTGACTCTGACATTTACTTACATTTTTACAGTCATTGTCCAATCGTGAGCCAAACTTACTATAAAAGGAACACTTGAACAAACATCAGTGTGATAAGATTGACCTCAGATGGCAGAATCCATTTTCGAGAAAAATGTATTGGACTTTGACTCATTAGTTTGGCACATGTCCAATCAACTAACAAGGAGGAGGTGGGATTTATGACCTATATTGTAGCCAGCCACGAGGTGGCGATCAAGTTTATCTTCACTGCATGAGCTGTCATGTCGTTAATCTTTATTTAGACTATGGTCCAGATCTAGAGACAGCAAAGCCTGAAACCCTGAGGCTACTTCATGCTGCTCGCTCCACCCCACTTCTTCACTCGAATGATGTTTTCATCTTGGCATGTCCCCTGTTTTACACCATATGTACTCTATTGCTCTATCTTCCTCCAAAAGAATTCAACCTTGGTTTCATAAGCCTAAGAAAAAAATGTCCTAGCAGTGTCTCAGTGCACCTTTGGCAAACATGTACGTGTCTATGACAGTTCGCCATACAACATGCCACCACAATTTGATGATTAGCATCTAGGTCATCTGAACAGAAATGTTAACCAGCTTCGGTGATTCTTTATAACCGTTACTCCAGGGTTCAGTTTTTACACATTTCATTCTGCAAAGTGCCTTTGGATTCACCTTAGCAGGACGCCCACTGCTTAAGTAGGTAGGCATAGAACTAAATCATCTCACTTATAGAAAGTTTGTCCAACTGTGAACTGATGAATATTTAAATGTCTTTTAAATCACTTTGTCACCCTTCTCAACTTTATGCAAATCGACAATTCCAGATTGTAATTTTTTTGGGAGACACATTTCACATGAGCAGATGCTGCTTACCTAGTCAAAGTATGGCTGTAACCTACGTCTCCAATATGCTTTCATTGATTGGAGTTCAGGTTTGCTAACTCCTGACCATAGTTTTTTTGTCTGAATGATGTGTTCAATGTGGATGAGAACAATACCGTGATTTATGTGTTATCATGTTTGTTCATAATTGTAACTAAGCCGAAGATCTGATCATATCTAAAGACAATTTTACACAAAATAAGGATTATTCCAAAGAGTTCACATGTTTTTTCTTGCCACTTATGATGATAAATGATTAATTATCATGCCAAACTGGAAAAATGCTTTGGAAAACTGTGAAACTGAAATTTTGTTTTACTTTTTAAGTGTTTCTCCAACACTTCTACAGGAGCATTTAACATCATTTCACAATCGTATCTTGTAGTGAGTCTTGGATGGTTCAAACATTATGGCTAATAATCTAACCCTCTATTCAGAACATGAATTCATTTCAATGTCTTTTTTCAGTTTGGGAACATGGCATGATATTTATCCGAGTTACTCTGCACTCATAAAATCCTCTGGCCATTCGGCTTTGCTTTTACTTATTGCATTACTTGAAGCTTACAGCTCCTGGTTCCTTTGTGAACAGGCAGCATGTCCCTGAACCAGATCAGAGGTACAAATCAACAATGGACCATGTTCTTTTGGTCTGAAATGAACATGAATCTGCTAATTGTCAGAACTTGCAGAGAAGCAGTCCATGTAAGAAGCATGCAGAATGAATTTATACAAGATCATCTGGTAACCATGGTTACATGTATGCAAATCGGCATATTAGAGGGGTCACACAGTAACATGTTACAGTCTAATATTACAGTACAAGACTCTTCTGTCCAATATTTTGTGACACATGAGCTCTACATGCATATTAAAATAATGAGACTAATGAAAGGGAAGCATAAGGAGCTGTTAAGGGCAACTTGAAGTGATGTCAGTCCATGTAGTGCTAATGATGCAGGTGGATGATGGTCGCCAAAACTGTCCAATCCATGAGTCCGCTGTTAATTTGTAATAAGGAAACAGACCAGAACTAGAAGGTCACAATATAGTGGACTGCTTGGAATAGTAGTTTGTTAATGTGATTTATAAAAATACTTACGATGAGAAGACAGTGAATAAAAAGTCTTATGATATCAAAGTTGGACAGTTAAAGCTTTATTCAGTGGTGTTTGAGTAGATACAGAATTAGTCAGCATAAGTCTGTGTTGTGTAAGGAGAGCGAGGTTGCACTAATCCTCTGCGTCTCCCTGCTATACTTCAAACACAAGAAAAGTTCCATCGAAACTATTTAACATCTGCTGCTAAATTGAGAAATACTGCGGGAACAAGTCGGGTTTATTTGTGTAGCACATTTCATACACTGTCATCGCTCCGACATAAAAAAGAACATATACAGAAACTTTTATTACACCTGCTTTAATGCCCCTGACTGGACATTAACAAGGAGAATTTATCAGTAACAGCTGAGTCCCATAAACGTCTCACTGTCTTGTTGAAACCGACCCAGACCATTCAGCTCTTAAATCTGGTGCATGTGGGGTTCTTAATGGGTTTGCACCAGGATAACACACATAAAAGTGTTTCGGCGCCTCATACAAAATAGCTCAGTGCACAGGCTGTATTTTCTGTCCGTGATACAAATGAGCTTACAACCATTATAGAGAACAAGACGAGACATCAGAAACACACAAAGGGCTCATGATTAAGAAGGATTGTGAGTGAGAGGGTCACTCGTTTATCTCAAAAATGACTAATCCAAAAATAAAATTATGCAAAAAACAGGAAATATCTAAAATGCATGATCCAGTTAAACGTTTTCTTTCAATTAACCACATCCACACTGCACTGCCTGAAGAGTAAAGATAAACACCACCAACTGTAAAAAAGTGTGTGCCAAATATGTTCTACTCTGAAAGATTCCTGGGATATAACCCAGTTCAAATTAGGCAGCTGGCTTATGATGCAGCTGGTTGAACTTGTAGCTCATGTCCAAAAGTGTCAGTGGTGTGCTAAGAGCTTAGACAGAGGTATAAAAATAGTCAATTAAAGATTAGTCTGGAAAAAAGAAACAAGTGGCAAGTGTTGAGAGAATCAAGGTGCAGAACAAAGCGTCCTCTGGCTCTTGTACTTTTTCTTTGATGCACTACGTCTGAACCTTTACTTTTGCTTTTACCACCAGATCCCCTGATGTCTCTTGAATTTCTTGTCTTAAGCCATGATAAATATTTTGTGAAAAGGGCAGACATTGCAGATGTTTTCATGGTGAATTAGTTTGGAAGGGATGTGGCAAAAGGTGTATGGGACTTGTGTGAAAAAGCACAACTGTTGAATAGTACTTCTTTATATTTAATGATGTTTCTTTCTCCCTGAGTCTGCACAAACCGATACAATGATGCTTATAGAAATGTATATGTCATTATAAGTTGAAGCGTAAAAGACACAGTTGTGAGCGGTTATACCGTAAATATATTATTGAAAAATCATATTTACATTTTTTTTTCTGTAATTACAAGGGTTGGGTATTGTTTGGGTTTTTTCTGATACTGATGCTAAATCGATACTTTTAAAATGGTACCGGTTCCTAAATGGTGCCAGAACCAATAAGATTTGTTTTTTTATTTCTTAGGCAAGTTATGAATTGAAATTTAAGCTGTTGTTCTTCACCCTCGGCTATTGTTCATACATTTGCTGGTCATCCCGGTGTCTTGTTGTGAGGGTTGACTCGAGTGTGAGGTAGCTACTAGCAAAGTTGCTCATGTTAGGTGCTGCCAGAGAAATGCAGATAGTGTAATGTAAGTTAAGTGTAATGTTAACTACCCACAATCAAGGCAACTTTTTCAGTACAGAGCTCAGAAACCGAAATCTGTGATTCCCGTAGGATTTCGATTCCCATCCCTAGTTATTATCTCCTCATTTCTCCTTGACTTTAGAATTATTACCTGACTTCTCTGGAGATTCGTTACCACCTATAAATCTCTTGCATTTCTCTCATTGACTGTTCTGTTACATCTCTTTTCAGGTATAATAGTAAGTGTTTATTCGTATAAAAACAGTAGCAGACTAGACCTCCACTAAAACACCTCAGATTCAGCAGATTCATACTGAGCCCCGACGCCTCGTCACAGTATTCCCATATATTACACACAGTCTATACACAAGGTTTAAGAACTGAGCAACCGAACCAGAACTGGGGGAACAACACAACCGTATGTGCCACAGCCATATGAGATCCCTAATTTAGGTTCCTTTTAAAAAAAAGATTCTGCTTCCTGGACAGAGCAATTACAGGGACGGACACCTGCACAAAATACTCTCCAATTAGAGCAGTAGGATAAGAAGCCCACCATCATTAGGCCCCTATTTTGCTTCCCCTCTTCACATTAACTGAGTACAGAGTATAAAGTGGACGACATTCTTTCCACTTGGCATAGTGCAGACTGTCCAGATTAACCGCTACGCCAGGATCTTGTGGAAGAAAAGGTCTTCTCCTTTACCTCTATTCTTGTGCTTTTCTTTGTTTCTCCTCTTCTCCCTTACGGATATTTTGTGCATAGATTAAGTCAAAGCTGTGAAGCCTATCCCACACTTTGCCAGGTACTTTTTCACTGGGACACAGAAAAAAAAAGACTGCTACTTTCACTTAGTGCAGTTTCAGCTCAGACACATAGATTCAGACATGTGTGAGCATTCAGGCACCCTTGCCCTATTCAAACAGATGTTTTTATGGTAAACAGATCCCTTTTACAATCCGCACACTGTTAGGATTGTGTCACGTAGTCACTGTTTGTGCTACATTCTAAATAGGATTCTAAGTGTCCTATTTGGCATGAGAATCACAACATAAATGCCACAACACTCAAACTACCTCAATAGCTTTCTATTCTCTCCAAGGTACATTCCTGCACTCTCTTGGGGGAGCGCAATTTTCCTGAAGTAGTCTGTTCCGTGGTCTCAATTATCTACTTGGTGGCAGACGGAGGACATTTAAACTGCGATGCAGCGTGCGCTTTTGTCTCAGCTAATTGTCGACCGCCGGGACGTGTGCAGCCTCGGCTGCCGGTGCAGAGATTTGCATCCGCTGCACCTGCCGGAGGATGCCTCTGACCTTCAGAATAGATTTGTTTTTTGTTTTTGCAGCCTTACAGTTTTGTCGAGTGGGCCAGCTTCCTTTTGTGAGATGACAAAAGTGTTGTTCAGTCAGAACAAATGAGTCTGCCCCCCCCTCCTCTTCCTCCTCCTCCTCCTCCTCCTCCTCCCTAACCCCCTCTCTCTCCCTTTGTTGTTATTTGCATTAGGAATCAGTCTGCTCATTCCTCCCGAGGCCATCCCCAGAGGAAAGATCTATGAGATTTATCTCACTGTTCAGAGGAAAGAAGATTTAAGGTGGGTCTCTTTAACACTGCCTAACTGGCAGTCTTCCCTGGATGCCACTAGGCTGTTTGTTTTGATGCTCTTCTGTTCCATTAGGAAAGGCTTAAGTCTGTGCTGAGGAGAAGGATGTAAATAAATAACATGGCCTTTTACCAGGATGTGTACTGTTTAAGTTGAATGAATTGTTTGCAGAACACTGTTTATCTGGCTTGCCGCATCCGCTCTCTGAAGGCACAGTCATTGTAGCATGCTGTGATGTTCGGTTATTACTCACTCACTCACAACTTGGTCCAGCTAGTCCGTGGGTCCAGCAGCCTTTCATTATTCTCTGTTACAGCTGAGAGATAATTTGCAGAGGTGGCGGTATCATATCCCGCTTACAAGAGAGTAGTAAATTCTCTCTAATAACTTGGATGAGTAAAAGCTCTTCATCTCAATCTGTTCCCCCTGCCTCCCGCTTCTCTCCCTGGTGTAGGTTACCCCTGGCAGGTTGCCAGACCCTGCTTAGCCCCGTTGTGAGTTGTGGCCCTCCAGGGGTGGTCCTGAGCCGGCCGGTTATCCTCAGCATGGACCACTGCTCTGACGCTTGCCTCGATAACTGGGCCGTTCGCCTCAAGAAGCAGAACTACGAGGGCGCTTGGGAGGTGAGACAGCACTAACACTCGAGCACACAAATCCTCCGCAAAAAGAAAAAGTTGCCACCCAGTGAATTTGTAAAGTCTTACTGGACTCACTCTGAGCTTTTTCTTCAAAAAGTACAAACTTGCTCTGCAGTGACTTGAAACATTGGAGAGGGTTCGATGCTGTATGGCAGAGGGAGCTCTGGCTGAGCACTCATCCACTCCATAGGATTTAAATTGTATTGACCATCAGGTGTTTTCTCATTGGGCTGGAACAAAAGCCTGGAAGCACCAGCTCTCTCCAGCTTCTGTTGCTAGGCAACATGTTTCTCAAAACAGAAATTTTCTAAGCAAATGACTGATCCTCAAAGTACTCTTCAGTGTGCTCCTTGACCACTTTTGACCACTGCTTCCAATTATTTAGTTCCCTCCCCATTTTTTTGCCATCCATGAAATTCTAAAGTAACTACAACTGCCAGACTCCAACAGGATGGAGTCTGAACACTCACACACACCCACACAAACAAATGGTTTGAGGCTGTATACCCATCTCAACAATCCTGAGGGATTGGAAAAGGGTGCTGATGGGCTTTTGAGTGTTAGTAGGTCTTTTTTCATGTTCGATATTGTGCATAAATTATTCAGCCTTCCCGTGTGTGGCAGCGGTGGGGTGTCTGTGGGATGGATTGGCCTGTCTGAGGCAGAGGTTAGGACAGCACTTTTAATCATCAGCTGGACCAAATTTAGCCCAGCGGCCTCACTGCGTGGCCACCGAAAGGGGAAAAAAAAGGCCCAGTTCATGAAAGAGGGGAGGCGAAGTCGACAAGCAGCTACAGTGTGGATGTGGAGGAATGATGGGGAAGAGAGAGGGATTGGAACATGGAAGAAAAAAAACCTGGATATGCAGAAGCAGTAGAAGAAATAAATTGCTCGTGCATTGAGCGGCCGGTGGTGTAATTGAGCCACCTCACTGTCTCGGCTCAACTTTGAAGAAATATTCAGATGATGAAAGAGTGAGACTCCATTGTGGTTGCATAGCAAATGAATTGTGTCGATACCAATTCTATTGATGTAGTTGGTGTCTGGTTGAATCGATCCTGCAGGGGGCTCGCTGGGCATTTGGCAGGTGCAATGTTCTCTTCAGCTTGATTGGCTAATGGAAGGAGTCAGTCAACTGGCATGATGGGATTTCAGAGAAAATGTTGTCACCTTGGGTCCAATTTGTCGCCATCACATTAGCCCGGAGAGCAGGGGAATGATCTCATAAAGCCATCTCGCACTGTGATGGGATTGGATGTTTTCACAAGTCTTTCATTTTTACTACGGATGCGATTGCGATACAGCAAGAAAAGATCAAGACGTCGCTTCTCTGATGTGTTTAAATCCCTGTTATGTCCTTTTTTCCATTCTTTGTAAATTACAGCACCAATTAATTGGTACTGTCTGTTATCACTCACGTTCACCGTCACGCAACAATGCTGTTCTGTATTGGCAAGTTGTTTTCACCTTCCTTAACAAATCTCAAACGCTGTAGGAAATTCTGGAAATCCCAATAATCCAATATTTACTGCACCTCCAGTCTTTTCTTTCTGCAGAACCATCTATTCTTGCCAGGAATCTATTCGAGTCTCCTTTCATGTCAATTGAGTACCTCGTTCATGCATTATTAAGTAAATTGATGGCATTCTGTAGGACGTGTGTCTTTGTATGTGGAGATGTGTGTCCTTCTGTCAGTGTGGAGTAAGCACACTGTGGTGAAAAGGGAATTTGAAGCAAGAACAGAGTATTCCACTTTTTAAACTGTTACCCAGACACTAAAGACCTTTAGCTCAGATGTGACTTGTCACTCACAGGGTAGAATAGAGTCGGGGCTGTGCTGCTACCCCGAAGTACTTCCTAACAACCTTTTTATGAGCACACACTCACTCACACACACATATCAGGTACACAGGCTAACCCTTCCCTCCTAAAGTGGGTGCTCAACCTCCCATTTTCATCTTCTTTTTTGTCCCCCTTTCTCTCCCGCCGCCTTGTCCCCAGGATGTCTTGCTCATGGGGGAGGAGCTGGTGTCAGAGCCCTATTACTGCCAGCTTGAAGCCGAGACGTGCCGGCTGTTCTCCGAGCAGCTGGGCACCTTCGCCTTGGTTGGGGAGTCCCTGCACATGGGTGCTGCCAAGCGCCTGAGGCTGGTGCTCTTCTCAGATGCATACTGCTCAACGCTGGAGTACAACATCAGGGTGTACTGCATGGACGACACGCAGGACGTCTTCAAGGTAAAGTGTGACAAATGCAAAACCACCTGTTGTTCTCATAGGTTGCACACATTGGTCAGTTTGGCATCAGCTGAGTGATTGGTAGACCACAGTGGCTGAGAAGCACAGTAAAGTAAAGGCCACAACACAAACGCAACTACAAACAGCCGCAAAACAGAAACACAACCACAACAGAGGAGAGTGACTAGGGATGTTGACAATAAATAAGCAGAGTTACTTCCTGCGGTCAAGTGAGCTGTCATTTGTGAAAACCTGGACAAATCAGCCACTGCTTAAAATTTGACACCTGTAACGGCTTGAATAGACGAGCATCAAATCGCTTGCTTAATCGCAGCAATAAACTGTGCTTGTGTCATTGTCAGCGTTCGTTGTTGCTCACTTCTGTTGTGATTGCATTTCCATTGTGTGGCTTTTGTAGTCATGTTGTGTCTCTTGCATTTGGGTTTTCCACTTGTGTGAGACGTGTCTGCCACCGCTGTACACACTGTTGCACGGATTGCATTGTCTTCCCCTGTGAGGGTCAGTACAATGCAGTGCAGAGATGTAGGAGTTGGGCATAGTCATGGTAAATTGAACAAAACTGCAGGCACAGTTACACATGTGTGGATGTGTATTGAATCAAAGTGTAAATGTCCAGGTTAAACATGGTGTTCTGCACGGTCTGTGTTTTTGTGTGCACGCCTACAAAGATGTTACATTCCTTTCACGCTGTCTGTGGTTCTGCTCGGCTGCCCGTGGGCCGAGAAGTTCCCCATCACTTTGTTCAACAGCATATTTCACTTCTCTTTTTCTGCTCTCCACATGGACAGAGTATAATCAAGCACTAATGCCTGCCTCCCTCCCCCGAGGACGGCCTCTGAGTAGCCTGTTAAGATTTCATTTGCATGGTTAATTAGTAAATTAAAAGGAGAGAGCCCGTCCCAATCTTTCCAAGCAATCCCTCCCTCCGTTCTCCCTGTCTCTCACTCCCTCTCTCTCTCTCTCTCTCTCTCCACACCTCCCTTTCTCTCACTCCAAGCTGTTCCTCTTCATCTGACACCACCTACAGTCACAAGTGCCACTTCCCACTCGAGTCCACTTTTGCCGGCTGTAATGGCCGACCTCCTTGTGCAGAAGTTCGCCACCGGCACAATCTATG